TGTTATGTACCCTTGTTAATTATTTGTATATGAATTCCGTTAAGATGAGAACTTGAATAAGCCTCGGATTTTGCATTCTATTCTTTGGCAAAGCCGACTAAATCCACAGCTCGAGGCTCCTCTGATTAACGCTTTGAGTGTTAACAGCAGGACTGTGTATATCGTTGCACAATTGTTGCGACGATGCAACACAATGACCCGGGTTTCCACTCCCGCTCACGGTCAACACCAGTGACCATTAATTAAACCGGTCCAGGGCCTGCCTAAGGTCTACTCATCCTCAATTGGTGCCTTTTGAAAGCATCGCAACTGGGGAGACAAAGGCGGCAGGGCGTGGTGCTGGCCACCTACCCTGTTGCATGCCGTGTTGGCCTTCGTATGTTCTACTCATTTATAGCACTTGCCCCAACAGTTCAAGCTAAACAGGTGACCTTTGTCTTTTGCTACCTGGCAGGACAATGAGAGATGGCGACGGCTTGGGGAGGTCTTCATCTAGAAGTGGAATGAGCTCCATTGAGGTTAATTAAGATATCGGTGTTTATGCATTTCTGTGTTTATATATTTCCGTGTAATTAAAGACCTCTCAATCGACAATTCCGGGGTGCATGAGGTCAAGGACACGAGAAAATCAGCCAAGATGGAGCAGCATTAAAATAGCGAGCAGCAACTGGTTGTCGATGACGGAGAGAGAATATCTTGCGAATCTCTCAGATCTGCTCTCTCTCGGCGGAGGTGTGGGAATCCGGTGCCCGTTTTGTCAGCTCCTGCTGGGCTGAGGCTGTGGAAAAAGTTCACAATGTTCCAGCCCTTCCAACCACTGTCATTGGAGCCAAATTGCAAAAAAAAATTTGCGTTAATTTACTTACATTTATAAGCGAACCACACCATGAGGTGTGCTCTCACAAAATACCTCGCGTCCCCTTTGTCAAAATCCCCCAGAACCTGATTGGTTCCGGGCCCATTCGGTGCCTCAATGATTGGCATTCTGCTTGACATCACGAGCCACTCGTGTCGTGAAAAGCCCCTCATGTCATCACAGGACCCTCGTGATGTCACAAGCCTCGCATGTCGTCAGAAGCCGCTCATGTCTTCACGAGCCCCTCATGACGTCACAAGTCCTCCGTGTCGTCACAAGCCGCTTGTGCCGTCACGGGGCTTGTGATGTCACAAGCCCCACTGTTATGTGCGCGTGTGTACCCATGTGTGTGTCTTGGGAGCGATAGTGTAGCAGTTAGCGTGCTGCGCTACAATCCCGGTGAGCCGAGTTCGTTTCCTGCTCATGGCCAACACCAGTGACGTTATCTGAATAGGTCCTGGGCCTCCCCTAGGTCGACTCAGTCTCAAATAAGTACCTGGTGTGGTGTCAACATCGCCAATAGGGAAACAAAGGTGGGCGGGCATAAGTGCTGGCCATCCACCATCTCGTGTGCCGTTCTGGCCTTCATAGGTGCTGATCGCTAATAGCACTTCGTCCAAAAGTTTATTAAGGCTATGCGGGCGATCTTTTTGTGCATGTTACCATCAGCCCCACCAAAACTAAGCACCTGCCTGGATATTTTGTGCCATCAGAGACTCAACCCCCACAACTCCCAATTGGTAACAGGGGAGTGGTGGAGAGAGTGGAGAGTTTTCCAAACATGGGCTGTGTGCTCATGACTGGCTCCGGTTTGATAGCAGAGGTCTCACTCCAAATCAGTCGAGGGGCATTATGTTTGTGTAGTGTCAACGATTCAGGGACAGAGTTTATAGGAGGCACCTTCTTATTAACAACTTCCACGGTCTCATCCACACACTGTCCACAGTAGCTCAGCCTAGCCTGTACATGACACTGGCTGTCTAACACTGATGGCGTTGACTGAGATAGCCAACTGCTCTCCTTCATAGCACAAAATCCAGCGGAGATGATTAGCGACGACGGCGACGAGACGACAGCAACGACGAGACGGGTCCACTCCCAGAACCGGCAGCCTCGAGCTCCCACTCTTGGCTCCTTTCATGCTACCAGCGCGGCCTGGCTCCGCCCTGACCTCGCCTCCCTTCTAGAACCCACTAGCAGGTTCCAGGGGCCTCCAGATGGGGTCTTTCGTGACCCTTGCCCGAGTTCCTCCTCTCTGCCAACACTGGCTGACAGAGGAGGTGTTCAAGATGGCTGAGAAAAAGCGACAGGCCCACTCTCATTGTCAACAGCATCCCAGATCAGAGAATGAGGAGGCTTACTGCAGCTGTAAGGTGCTGGAAAGATGGGTGGTGGTCATGGGTTGCTGAGGAGATGGAGTCTGCCTCAATGGCCTGCGACCATAAATCGCTCTTTAACTCCATCAAAAAAGTAACCTGCAGTGCCACACCTATTACCATCATGAGGGAAAAGAAAGATGATCTAATCTCCGACCCCCAGGAACAGGTTTGCAGATTTTCTGAGCATTTCTGTGAGGTCCTGGGGGAAGGGACATCCCTCAGCCTGGAAAACATTGTGGGACAAAGTGGGGATGACTCTGCTGAGGCTGCGGTGCCTCAAATATTGGAAGAAGAAGTCACCCCCTGTGAGTGGCTGGCAGAGGTGCCATCTGTTGAGGCAGTAACTAAGGCGATCCAGAGTCTGAGACCAAGAAAGGCACCGGGTAGAGATGACAGTCTGGACCACTGGATGGGTTCCACAGGATTCGATAGATGCCCTGGTGTTCCCCCTCTTTAAGAAGGGGAACCGAACAGATTGTAACAACTACAGTGGCATCTCACTCCTCAGTGTGTCGGGAAAGGTCCTGGCAAGGATTATTCAACACCGCCTTGCCAGGCACTCTGAGGAGAGGCTTGCGGTGCCCGAATGTGGTTTCAGGAAAGGGCGGTCCTGCACAGTTGCCATATTTTCTGTCCGTCTGCTACAGTAGAGGTGTAGAGAATTCCAACAAGACCTACATCTCTGCTTCATTGACCTGGTCAAGGCCTATGATACCATCAGTAGGCCTGGGATCTGGGTTGTTCTTCGTGCTTTCGGAGTCCATGACGCTCTGCTCATGCTCATTAAGGACCATCATGATTGTGTGTGGGCCCAGGTAAAACTACGTGACTGGGAATCGGACCCATTCTCTGTTCATCTTGGGGTGCGATAGGGATGTCCTCTGTCTCCCACATTATTTAACATCTATTTCGACTACGCAGTTTGTGAAGCCTTCGATGGTTGCACCGGAAGAATTTCCATCTGGTACAGATACAATGAGAGGCTGATCGATGCCTGGGTGTGGTCAAGGGATGGCTCCCCATTGGGCAATCACGTTATGTATGCCGATGATCTGGTAATTGCTGCTCACTTAGAGGAGGAGTTGGAAGCGCTACTGCTGAACCTGGAGCTTGCCACTAAGAGGTGGGGCCTTACCATCAGCCCCACCAATACTCAGCACATGCATGGGTATTTTGTACCATCGGACACTCCACCCCCACAACTTCCAATTGGTGATGGGGCAATTGTGGAGAGAGTGGAGAGTTTCCCATACCTGGGCAGTGTGCTGATTACTGGCTCCGGTTTGACAGCAGAGGTCTCACTCCGAATCAGTCGAGCGGCATTATATTTTCATCGGTTGCGTAATGCTGTGTGGAAGCTACCTGGTCTGTTGCTCCAAACGAAGCTTCACGTATTCTAAGCCACATTCATTCCCTCCCTTCTCTATGCTTACGCAACGTGGACTCCCCTAATTGAACATCTTCGCTGGTTAGAAACATTTAGGCTGGCCTGCCTACAATCCATCCTTGGATTAACCAGGCTGGATTGTGTGAGGAGCTCACAAATCCTCGAAAGATCTGGACAAAGTCCCATTGGTGATCTCCTCCGGCAGGCAAGGCTGCGTTGGCTAGGTCATGTAGCTCGCATGCCCAGCCACCACACGCCTAAACAGCTTTTGTTTGGCCGGATCGAGGGGGCTAAATGGGCGCGGCACGGGCTAGAGAAGAGATGGAGTGATGTGGTATAGGAGGATGTGGGGCTGAGTGGACTTGACGATGACTGGTACCAGCGGTGTCAAGATCGGCCTATGTGGATGAGGCTCGTGAAGGAGGCTACTGGGCAGTTGAAGGCAGTCGCCCTCCAACAACAACTGAGGGTGGAGGAGCGACGCTCACAACAACGAGCGGAGCACCGGGTGGCTAAACCACAGAAAGTTGGCACAGTAGGGGGCACAGGTGGTACATCAGCCAGTCATATCAGTCAGTGGACCTGTGGCACCTGGGTCTGCCCGTGACCTCCTCTCAGCGGGCGTTTGACACTTCTCTTGGCCTCAATGTGCACATTTCCTGGCACAAGCATAGTGGTGACGTCACCGCCACTTAGTCGCGAATGGCGGTTGTTGTTGTTGTGTGTGTGTGAGTCCAATAATGTGTGTGTGTGCGTCGATGTGTGTGTGGGTCGATGTGTGTGTGTGAGAGTCGATGTGTGTGTGTAAGTCCATGTGTGTGTGTAAGTCCATGTGTGTGTGTGAATTAATATGCGTGTGTTAGTCGATGTGTGTAATGGAACATCTTCGCCGGTTAGAAACATTTAGGCTGGCCTGCCTACGATCCATCCTGGGTTTAACCAGGCTGGATTGTGTGAGGAGCTCACAAATTCTTGAAAGATGTGGACAAAGTCCCATCGGTGAGCTCCTTCGGCAGGCAAGGCTGCGTTGGCTGGGTCATGTAGCCCACATGCCCAGTTACCGCATGCGCTAACAGCTTTTGTTCGGCCGGATAGAGGGGGCTAAACGGGTGCGGCACGGGCTAGAGAAGAGATGGAGTGATGTGGTACAGGAGGACGTGGAGCTGAGTGGACTTGCTGATGACTGGTACCAACGGTGTCAAGATCGGCCTCTGTGGAGGAGGCTCGTGAAGGACGCTACTGGGCAGTTGGAGGCAGTCGCCCTCCAACAAGAACGGATGGCTGAGGAGCGACGCTCACAACAACGAGCGTGTTCCCATGTGTGTATGTGTGTGTGTGTACCCATGTGCCCCCTCCCCTGTTCCCCTTAATCTTTCAGACTGTATGCTTTCGATCCCGCTGTCTCCACTCCACTCAACTCCGCGTGCGAACGTGACTCTCCCGTGTCACGCCCGCTCTCCACACTGCACTCTCCAGATGATCACGTGGTCTAGATTGATTTCCATTGAGGAAGCGGAGACGATAGTGACCTGCAACGGGAGCCTTTGTGAGGTCACGGCATCAGGGTACCAGGGCAGAGTTCGCCTGGCCACATCGCAGTCCCACAACAGCTCATTGATCCTCACCGATGTGAGGCTCAACGACACCACGAGATACAACTGCGTGCATCAATGGAGACTCGGAGATGTATTCCAGAAGAGCACGATTGCTGTGGATCTCAACGTCACCGAACGTGAGTGCTGGATGCTACGTGATCATCGGAGGGCGAGCTCCCAAACACATCCACTGGAGAAAACGCAGCATGGGTTGATGTCCATTGGGTTGTTGCCAGGGTACAAATAATAAGAATACACATTTAGAGACAGTTTTCACTCACTTTCAAAGGGGAAAGATTTAGTCAGATGCGCGAGTAATCAACGGACCAAAGGGAAGGTTGCCGGGCCATGAGCTGTCTCCAACAATAGCCTGAGATCTGCGTTCCTCGATACATGGAGATGTTTCCAGCCATCTGATGAACAAACATCCTGCTCAATTCCATTGCAGTATTTTTTCCCTTCATAAATATATCTCATATAATACTTTTCTAATCGTGTATCATCTCGTTATTTTCACAATCTTCCTTTCGACCATTGTATGATGGGAGTGATAATTGAATTTGTCTATTTTACCAAATCCATCACGTATGTGGGTATGCATGTTTAACTTATGAACGTTTCCAACCGTGATGATCGGAGGTGCGGGGGGAAGGACAACAAACTAAACACAACAACAACAAGCAGCCGTTCTAAAGAAAACAGTTTGCCAATCTAGATGGACGATTTAAAAGTTATATAGCTTCCAGTGGCTTCCTAATATTGGAAGGGAAGAATGTTCCAGACGGCCACAGCAGCTGCACATCTGAAAGCGCTGCGTGATGATGTGGTGACCAACGTCTTTGTTCGATGGCGAGCCAGAAGTGTAGTGTATAGTATAGTGTATTGTAATGTATAGTGTAGTGGATTGTAGTGTATAGTGTGTATAGCGGAGTGTATAGCAGTGTATAGCGTAGCGTTTGACGTAGTGTATAGTGTAGTGTATAGTGTAATGTATTGTAGTGTATAGTGTGTATAGCCTAGTGTATAGCAGTGTATAGCATAGTGTGTAACGTAGTGTATAGTGCAGTGTATAGTGTAGTGTATAGTGTAGCGTATAGCGTCGTGTATATAGCATCTAAAAGCACTACGCAATGATAACTAGCAGTAAAAAGCTGCCGCTGCTGCTGCTGCTGAGAGGAGGTGTTCTTAGTATCTCGTTTTCCAGAGGGGACCACAATTTCGACTCAAGTCACCGAAGCCGGGCAAGAGGAACGCAAATCCGACGAAGGCCGAGGGAGCCGTAGCAAGGTTGGCGCAGTGGAGCCAGGTGGGGGGTGGCGTTCCATTGGGCTGCTGCTGCTGCCGCTTTCCGCTTTGTCTGACCGAGTGTGGAGTGAGAAGGGCACTTGGTCCACAATTTGCTACGTTTTCTTTGGTTCTTTCGGTAAAGTCACGTAGAATGAGAATAAAATAATAAATTGATAAAATAAAATAACGCAATAAAATTCTCACGACGTTTCGGCCTCAACACAAGCGGCCTTCATCAGGTGAAGGGACGAGACTGTCTGGAGGACAGCGCTGGAGCGAACAAAGCCAAGCTCAGATAGCGACCTTTAAGCTGTGTGAGAAGAAACAGGGCGCCTTGACAAAGGAATTAGCATAGAATTTAGCATTGAAATAGCTGAGTGATTAGCTTGTGACTGGTCACAGAAATGGCTATGTTAAAGTCAAAGAATACACATCCACAGAGGCACCCCTTGACAAAGGAATTAGCATAGAATTTAGCATTGAAATAGCTGAGTGATTAGCTTGTGACTGGTCACAGAAATGGCTATGTTAAAGTCAAAGCATACACATTCACAGAAGCACCTAGTACAAATCAAACAGGAGAATTTAGCATTGAAATAACTAGGAGAATTTAGCATTGAAATAACTGAGTGATTAGCTTGTGACTAGTCACAGAAATGGCTATGTCAAAGTCAAAGCCTACACATCTGAGCTATTAACAGTAACTGGGTATACACTACACTATATAATGAATACTATATAGTAAACCAATAAAAAACTAAAATATAAATTACCTCAATGTTATCAATAAACTCTATATATTCTCCAATCAGCTAAGCTACCAACAGTAAGTCGTTATATATCACAATGCTATATGGCGAAAAAATGGGTGGATTCTTACCCTCAACTTTAGCACCACGGATAGCTACGAGCCCCATTCAGACGGACGAGTTCATCCATGGTCAGAACGGAGGAGGGGGAGAGAGACAGCTGCGAGGCGCTGTTATACTCCATGTTGTAAACCATACCATTAACCGTGGTGTGAGAGGTATTAAGAGTCAATGCCAGCGAAAGAGCTGTGGTCTGAAGGTCATCGTAAAATACATTTAATTAAGAACGGAAATGGTTTAAAACATCTTTCCAATGGTTACTAAGTCAGAATCCATCTTGTGGGTTGAAATTGTCTCTGTGCTTGTATATGTGAATGGCCTCATGAACGAATCTCTCATGGTAGCCGGTTGGTTTGCAAAGAACCTCCGTCTTGGAGAAGTCAATGTCATGTGAGCCCACTGAATTATAACAGTGATCTGCCATGGAAGAGGAGTTCGTTCTACCGTGTTTCAAGTCTGCTTTATGTTCGCGGATGCGGTCCGAGATATGTCGTTTGGTTTCTCCAATGTAGCTACTACCGCAGAGGCACTTTAGTTTGTAAACTCAACGATGACAGCTATACAAAAATAAAAAGAGATCCCACCAACAGCCTGGTTACCAAAACGAACAAAATCATCTCTGATTCAACAGCATTAATTGATCAGACCAAACAGTTCTCGTTGAAACCCTCTGCTGCCAGACCACCAAGATTATATGGCCTTCCAAAAATACACAAAGAAGATACACCCCTTCATCCCATCGTCTCTACTATCTACTCCCCCACCTATAAACTGGCACGTTTTCTTGCTGATATACTGCGACCTTTCACTGGAAAAACCACCTCTGCGGTAATAAATTCTACTCACCTGGTATCGACAATCAAAGGCATTTCCCTGTCCCCAGATGACCTGCTTGTCAGTTTGATGTGGTGTCCTTGTTCACCAAAGTCCTGGAACCTGACACCATCGCTATCATTGAAGACCTGGTTCATCAAGGACTGCATACTGATGTACCCCCCCCCCCCCCTGGTGAGATATTGCTTAACCAACACATACTTCACCTGGAATGGAACTTGCTACAAACAAACTGAGGGCACCCCAATGGGCTCCCCCCTATCTCCGGTTGTAGCCAATATATTCATGGAAAATTTTGAAACTGACGCCATCCAGACTGCCACTCTACGCCCGACCTTATGGAAGAGGTACGTGGATGAGACTTTTGTCATCTGGCCACATGGCCAGCCTGCTCTAGACCAATTCCGCGACCACATCAATTACATACACCCAGCCATCAGATTTACCATGGAGGTCTAAAAAGATGGCAAACTACCCTTTTTGGATGTCTTAATTAAAAGGAGACATGATGGTTCAATGAGCCACTCTGTCTACAGGAAAGCTTCCCATACAGATGCTTACTTGAAACTGGATTCCCACCACCATCCATCCCAGAAGAACTCCCTCATCAAGACTCTATAAAAATAGAGCCCAATGCATTTCCGACCAGGAACACATTACCAATGAACTCAAGCACGTACACCAGGCTCTCAGGGCTAATGGTTACTCCGACTACACAATCCGCAAAGCCATCACTCCAGTCATGAAGAAGGATCCTCTTGTGGAGCCACTCAAAATCATCACCTTACCCTACATTGCAGGGGTCACTAAAAAGATCTCCAAAATCCTGAAAAAACACAAGATCCAGGTCCGATTCAACACAGTACATAAAATCCGTGATCTGGTTCCATCTGTAAAAGATGCTGTTCCAGACATACAGTTCCCGGGCGTTTACAAACTAAAGTGCCTCTGCAGTAGTAGCTACATTGGAGAAACCAAACGACATATCTCGGACCGCATCCGCGAACATAAAGCAGACGTTAAAAACACAGTAGAACGAACTCCTCTGCCGTGGCAGATCACTGTTATAATTCAGTGGACTCACATGACATTGACTTCTCCAAGACGGAGGTTTTTTGCAAACCAACCGGCTACCATGAGAGATTCGTTCATGAGGCCATTCACATATAAAAGCACAGAGACAATTTCAACCGAGAAGATGGATTCTGGCTTAGTAACCATTGGAAAGATGTTTGAAACCATTTCCGTTCTTAATTAATTGTATTTTACGATGACCTTCAGACCACAGCTCTTTCGCTGGCATTGACTCTTAATACCTCTCACACCACGGTTAATGGTATGGTTTACAACATGGAGTATAGCAGCGCCTCGCAGCTGTCTCTCTCCCCCTCCTCCATTCCGACCATGGATGAACTCGTCCGTTTGAACGGGGCTCGTAGCTATCCGTGGTGCTAAAGTTGAGGGTAAGAATCCACCCATTTTTTCGCCATATAGCATTGTGATATATAACGACTTATTGTTGGTAGCTTAGCTGATTGGAGAATATATAGAGTTTATTGATAACATTGAGGTAATTTATATTTTAGTTTTTTATTGGTTTACTATATAGTATTCATTATATAGTGTAGTGTATACCCAGTTACTGTTAATAGCTCAGATGTGTAGGCTTTGACTTTAACATAGCCATTTCTGTGACCAGTCACAAGCTAATCACTCAGTTATTTCAATGCTAAATTCTCCTAGTTATTTCAATGCTAAATTCTCCTGTTTGATTTGTACTAGGTGCTTCTGTGAATGTGTATGCTTTGACTTTAACATAGCCATTTCTGCGACCAGTCACAAGCTAATCACTCAGCTATTTCAATGCTAAACTCTATGCTAATTCCTTTGTCAAGGCGCCCTGTTTCTTCTCACACAGCTTAAAGGTCGCGATCTGAGCTTGGCTTTGTTCGCTCCAGCGCTGTCATCTAGACAGTCTCGTCCCTTCATCTGATGAAGGCCGCTTGTGTTGTGGCCGAAACGTCGTGAGAATTTTATTGTGTTATTTTATTTTATCAATTTATTATTTTATTCTCATTCTACGTGACTTTACCGAAAGAACCAAAGAAGATGAATCCTTGCAGTCACGAAAGCTTTGAATCGAAATTTGCTACGTTGTTCAGTGTTGACCAATCACACGCGATAATCATCATCATCATCATTGGCTAGTTGGCACAGTGGTAAGTCTCGAGCCTCAGAAAAAAAGCAGCTGAGTTTGATTTATTTCCCGTGGTGGTACTGCTTCTTTACTTTCTCTCCCTATGTTCTGCTTTGCATTCCTCTGGGTGTGCATTTGTTTTCTCTGGGTTCTCTGGAATAGTCGCATAGCTAACAACAACAAACTAGGTAGAATTAATACTTGTATTAATACCAAACAACCCGTTGCTTGGAAACCTCCCTGCCTGTAATTTACTCAACTGGGACTACACACAGACACATGGAAAACGACTGATAACCCTCCTGCAAAAAATGGCTTGATATATAGTCAGGCTTTACTGAGTGAATGGGCATAATAGATTATCGAAAATTGTCATCACCATCATCTTCATCAATTATCATCGTCTTAAACAACACCAAGTTCTGTAGTATATCACTCTGGGTAATGCTGCTCACCTAGAGTCTTATTCATTTTACGACACAACCAAAATGTCGAATTTTAGCCGGTTTGCCTCCCGCCTTTTCAAACTTTTGTAAACACCGGCAGCTTTTGTGTGAGCACGCAAACTCTGGATCGGACTCGCCATTCCGTGGCTCATCAGCAGTGTGAGGTGTGACTTAATGAGAGGGGATGCTCGTGACGATGGCAATGGCTTTGTTGTTGTGTGCGTGCTTGTTCCCCTCTGGAAAACGAAAGAACGGGGAGCGGTCGTGTAGCAGTTTGCAAATCCTGCGAACCGAGTTCGATTTCCACTCACGGCCAAGACCAGTGACGATTATCTGAAGCGGTCTTGGGCCTCACCTAGGTCGACTCAGCCTCAAACGAACACCTAGTGCAGTGTGTAAACTTCGCTATTAGGGAGACAAAGGCGGCCGGGCGTGGTGCTGGCCACCCACCCCCTCGCGTACCGTTCCGGCCTTCATAGGTGCTCGCTAACAGCACTTGCCCCAACAGTATGTTAATGCTATACGGGGGATCTTGTCTTTGTACCTGCTTCTAAATTAAGATGCACTTTCATGGCATTTCACAGATTCGTATTAATGTTGCCTTGAGCCCCGAGTGCCCTTGGCGTGGTTACAGACAAAGGCAACGCCGTTCAGAAGGGAGGACATTGAGGCATTGAGAGAAAAGAAGCAAGAATAGAAAGTAGTGAGATTGCGAATGTGAAAGGAATCCGTATGCTTGGGAAGTCGACTGACATGGGGCAATGATTGCACGACGACACAATAATTATAATAATTTAAATGTATAAAGCGCCCTTAAATAATCGTTCTCAGTAGGAGCGAGGAATGGCAGAGAGCAAAAGGAGTAATGGGCAGGGTGCGGTAACATCTGGAGAATAACATGCGTGTTCAGTAACAGCCTTGTACGTTTTCCCAGGTAGTAGACTTTCGCGAGTAACGTAATTCATAATAAAGGACCTGTTGGGTTAGATGTCGTAAGTATACATGTGTCGTTTGCCCGCCACCACCCGACAAAGCCAATTCTGGCAAAAATTTTCCCTATGATGCTTGATGTAATTACCAGCGGAACAACTCGGTCCTCAAAGTTGTAAATGTATTCGATTTACTCTCCAACACACCGATTAGTGCTGTATTAATAACTAATTTTACACGTGCTGTGTTACGTGACAAACCTTCATAATTGGCCGTGTCGGGGGGTGGTGGCTTTAACGACGCATTTATATTTACGAATGCTATTACTAATTCCTAGATTGAAAACTCATTTCTTTAGAACTGCAGCTTATTGTTGTGTTTAGTTTGTTTTCCTCCCGCACCTCTGATTAGCACGTTTGGCTACGTACGGCGCAAAATAAGTTCAACATACATACTACACTAAACACTACAATAAACATTACACCATACACTACATACTCACTACACACGACACTATAACAACTATCTACAAAATCTTGATTTGAAGCTTTCGTAACTGCAGGAATCCATACTCTTTGTTTTTTTCGGTAAAGTCACGTAGGTAGAAATAAAACAAAATACATCGCGATTTTCACCTGAAGACGGGCACTTGTGTTGCGTTCAAAACGTGATTAATTTTGTTTTATTTCTACCTATGTTACTTTACCGAAAGAGCCAAAAAGTAACTATACACTACACTACTATACACGACACACTATTAATTACTACACTACTATACTAAATTTAAAACTAATTTCTTTAGAACTGCTTGTTATTGTGTTTAGTTTATCCTACCCCTACACCTCCGATTAGCACAGTTGGCTACGTATAGTGTGAAATAAGTTCAACATTCACATCTTACACGATGCACTACACGATATACTACAATTCACACAAGACTACTATACATTGCACTACTATATATATACACTACACCACTATACTAAATTCCTTGGCATCGTATGGTCCGCAAGAAGTCCAGCATACACACATAGTCTCTGCGTTCTTAAACCCATCTGTTTCCTGCCAGAATGATGCTCTATGTTGTAGGTTTGAGCCACCACTCGAACATTGGTGGATTTGGTCTCTGTTGCCTTCTCAGAGCAAGAAACCAACACTGCAGCCCATGTGCCTATGTGGTATTACATGCCGGCAGTGGTGCTAGTGGTGGTGATGGCAGTGGGTCTGCCACTCCTGTATCATTTCACATGTAAGTACAAATATAATAATTGGTTGTTATTGATAGAGCACCGTTAACGCCGGACAATTTTGGATCACATTCACAATCGCTGTAGTGTAGAGTGTAGTGTCTAACAGTGTATAGTGTATAAAAGAGGTGTTTGGCTTAGATCGCGTTAATATATAAACGTGTCGTTAAAACCCATCACCACCCGACACAGCGAACTAGTAAGGGTTGTCACGTAAACAGAACATGGCAATTCGTCACTAGTACAGCATACAGGTGTGTAGGAGAGCCAAGCCACAACATTTACAATCTGAGTACGACGTTTCGCCAGTAATTACAACTAGCTTCATCAGGCGACAGCCAGATTTGTGAAGAAGTCTTACTGTTTCGTTCCTTATATAGAGGCGAAGATGTGTTGACCACCCTTCTGCGCTCTTGACAATGTGGGGGGGGGGGGGGGGGGGGGATTACTGAGGCAACGTACATTATGCATGTGCATTATGCGAGCCCTTTGAACTTGTCCTTCCTGTCTATTGTGTTTATTAAAATAGCCCTACCAATGGTAATCCCTATTGAAGTACGCTGCCCTTTTTAGGCATGCATATTAAATAATGTACGATTTGATGATTCGCTTCCACGCAGCACTAAGGCGGTAGCTATAGGAACGGTTAAAGTTATTTTGATTTCTTTCATTTTCGAAAAATTATCTAATTAGTTTTGGCCAGTAGTAGCTAGTTTTGCACAAAACTTCAAAATTAGCAAAATCAATTGAGTGTCCTTGTTGGCACGCGTGTTCTGCTACTGCTGACAGTTGTATTTGGGAAAATGTAATATTTCTCTGAAATATAAAATTCCCTGAAATATTAAATGTCATCTCTCCCGACTCCACCTGTCACCTTTGACCCAGATATTGTTCCCTCTTAGGATTGGATGTCGATTACACAATAGAGCCTGTACCCAGTTACCCTCTTGCACCCACTGGATGGCGCTCTCTCATTACAGTAGTGTAGTGTATAATATAGTGTATATTGTAGTATACAGCAGTTTATAGTTTAGTGTATAGAAGTGTATAGTTTATTCTATAGTGTAGTGTGCAGTGTATTGTATAGTGTGTGTAGTGTAGTATATAGTGTATTGGAAAGCAGTGTATAGTGTCGTGGAAAGCATTGTATAGTGTCGTGGGAAGCAATGTGTAGTGTAGTGTATAGCAGTGTATAGCATAGTATATTGCGTATTGTGTAACTGTATAGTGTAGTGGAAAGCAGTGCATAGTGTAGTGTATAGCAGTGTATATCATAGTGTATTGTGTAGTGCATATTAGTGTATAGTGTTGTGTAGAGGAGTATGTAGTGTGGAGTATCGTGTATAATATAGTGGAGTGTATAGCAGTGTATAGCAGTGTACAATATTTTGTATAGTGTAGTGTATACTGTGCAGTGTGTAGTGTATATTGTGTAGTGTACAGTATAGTGTATAGTATAGTGTAATGTTTAGTAAAGTGTATAGTGTAGTGGAAAGCAGTGTATACTGTAATGTATAGTGTCGTGGGAAGCAGTGTATAGTGTAGTGTATAGCGTAGTGTATAGCAGTGTATAGTGTAGTGTGGAGCAGTGTGTAGTGTAGTGTATTGTGTATAATTTCGTGTATAGTGTAGTGTATAGTGTAGTGTATAGCAGTGTATAATATATTGTATAGTGTAGTGTATATTGTGCAGTGTGTAGTGTATATTGTGTAGTACACAAAATAGTGTATAGTATCGTGTAATGTATAGTGTAGTCGAAAGCAGTGTATAGTGTAGTGTATATAGGACCTGAAAGCACCACACGATAAGGCGGTGACCGTTTTTGTTTCACATTCACAATAACCCTGATGAAAGCCATTTCGCCGCGCTCTCACTTTCCAAGGTTTCGTCGTGATGATGCGCAACATCATCTGCAGTGCAACGTGCGTCTATAATTGCTACCTTTTGGTCGTAAGGAATCATGTGCAACTTATCCGTGGGCTAAGACCCTCCCCTCCCCCAATCTGGCCTTTGCATCCTGATTGGCTCACAATTGACGACATCGAATGCATCCCTCACTCGACTTTAGACCAAAACAGGAGGAGGAGGATTTCTCCACAACTCTGGCTGTCGACTGATGAGTTTGGTTTGTTGTTGTTTTTGTAATTACCGGCGAAGCGTCACCAGCTACTCGAATGATCAATTTCTCGCTGTGGGTTTACTCTCCAAAAAGCAACCGGTTAGTGCTGAACTAGTAACTAATTGACACGTTTTGTTTACGTGACAAACCCCTTACAGATTGGCTGTGTCGGATGGTGGTGGTTGCGGGTTTAACAACTTATTCATATTCACGCAATCTACAGCCCAAAGATATGCTATTATGGACAATAATAATCATACAGTGCATTCATTAACGCGCCCATTGCTATTAATAATAATAGGGCGCCACGGTGGCTTGGGGATGTTAACTACCTCGCCTGGTATACAAGAGGTTATGGGTTCGATCCCAAAACTGACGCCGATTGTATATTGGAGTTGGCATATCTATCTCCTCGTGGTTGCGTGGATTTTTCTCCGGGTCCTCCGGTGTTTCCCCTCCACATTTAGAATCATCATCACGCGGTTTAGAGTAATTTGGCTGCTATAAATTTACACACGATGATGATAAGCATCTGCATTGAACTATTATTTGTGATAGCCAGGTTGCTTTTGAAAAATAGCTGTATAGGAGCTCAGTAGTGGTAAAAAACTTAAAAAATAGTTAAGGTTTCTTAGTGTATTTGCTTGCACCGCACGCGATAGTTGATATGTGTGTTGGCTATGTCGGGTGATGGATGTTTATCATTTATTCAACACCTAGGTGGCTTTCACAACCAATATTATTCATAATAGAGGTTTTTTGGGTTAGATCACATATTTAAATATGTCGTTAAATCCACCACCACCTGACACAGACAATCAGTAAGGGGTTTGCCACGTAAACAAAACATGGCAATTCGTTACTAGTACAGCACACCGGTTGCGTGTTGGAGAGTAAACCCACTACAACATTTACAATTCGAGCACCGTGACGTTTTACCAGTAATTACAACAATCAGCATCATCAGGGAACAGCCAAAGTTGTGGAGAAGTCCTTCTGTTTCGGTCTTATTAAGTATATGATTCAGAATTCGTCGGATAACTCACGTGGCCACGATCCAAAAAGAGCCAACGACGATGGTGAACCAACGTAATGGAGTTATCGTTTCCCCAAAGGCAAGAAAAAGTCAGTAGCGGTGCTGCTGTACCCTTCCACGAGCTTGGACGGGCGGACCGAACCACGCGCCATGCAGAATGTGAGCTCCAAAGCAATACACTAAAAACCCTGGTGTTTCTATAAAAATCTCATAAAAAAGACTACAATATACACATTTAATACAGGGATGAACGGATTGTTGTGTTGAATTTGATACCCCCCCCGCATCGCCAATTGAAAAGAACTCACAAACAAATATCGCCTTATCATGGGACATTTTTACAGTATCAAAGTATGAAAAATAATAATAAGTTTTACATTTTCTGACAATAAAACAGTTTGCAATTTGGCATTGGTCTCTGGTCTGACACTGCTAGTGAGACTAGGCCATGACTAAGGCTGTCTGTGGTGCAGGCCAATCAGTTTCAAAGACAATGCAAACATTACCAGAGTGTGTTTGCATGTTCACCACAAGTACGTGTGGTTAATGCAGACTTGATTCCTTGCAAAAGATAACTATTTCGTGTTCGAAAATCTTAACACCTCCTGTTTTATTGCCAGAAATGGTAAAACCTGTTCTTCTTTTGCTAATAACTCACAAACAGACGCAGTCTTTTTGTCAAATACTCCAAACGCAGAAGATCCCTGGGGTTTGAACTTTCAAGAAGCTGCTCATGGTCCCACCCATAAATCCGCAGTCACTGCACAAGCCATGGCAGCAGCAGTAGATGCAGATGATAGCTGCTAATGCACAAATGGAAAATGGAAAACTCTCTCCAGTAGCAGTGTTGCCATTACTGTGGTCATCCAGAACAGAGCCATATCTCCTGTGTACCAGGCGAGGTAGTTAACATCTCTGAGCCATCTGTCTGCTTCCAGGACGCTGCTGGCGAGGTCTTCTACGAGACGGTGAACATGGGCGATGAAGAACCACGCGATTCTATGGCGGGCGAGGAGCCCCACATCCACGGCTCTCCGCTGCCAGTCATCTACTCAACCGTCAATGAAGTCTCTTCGGGGCCTAACTCTTAAATCGCCCTCTATTGTTGTTAACTATTATTAGTAGAACTCCTTCTTCTTGTTGTGTTTAGTTTGTTGTTCTCCCTGCTCCCCGCACCTCCGATTGTTATTTGTATTGTTGTCTATGTGGGTGTGTGAAAATTTGATGAAAATAATGAAGATTGAATGAAATTTCAAATGTGCATAAATAATCTGAAATTACGTTAATAGAATATGCTAATTCGAGAGGTAATCGTATTAATTTATACGAGTGGGTGTGGTTATATTAATGCTAACCTTTATGATAATCAGGCCCTGCCTCGTTGACGAGGTGGTGTTATCAATCGGGATAATGCAATCAATCGTATGCAGTTATGCTAGTGTCACCTCGGCTTCGTTGTCTCCCCTCGTATTATCGACCAGTATAATACAATGATTCTCGCTTTAACGTTTATTGGGTGGATAAGTGTATTTATATTTTAGTTCCCAAGTTCATATCCTTCTCGCTTTAACATTACTGAGTGAATTAGTGTGTTTATAGTTTAGGTTCCCAGGTTCATAACTCATCGCAGGATACAGATCTTACGCAAAAATTTCAGGAAAGAATCACACGACCACTTCTGTATTAATAAATGTATTTATAATGAAACCTTAACTATAATATAGTATGTGAACTCTGAATCTCGGAACGTCAACACGGTATCAATACATTATCATCAACGACTGTACGATTTCACTTTGACAACGGCACATATATCCCGCATAACGCGATTGTGGTTAGTGAGAGAGAGTCGTTAAAACATGCAAATGCTATGCTAAACAAAAACGTATACATTTTAATATGAACGATTATTATGCTTGAAATTGTCAGCACAGTATCACAGGCGATTGATTAACATGCAACGGTATCCATATAAAAAGACGACCAAACAGGTATTATTTCCAAAGGCATAAATGTACAACAGATCCACCGGACAGATTATAGGATTACCGAAATGGCCTAGTGTGAGGGTGTGCGGCGGGACGTTTTATCTCACGGGAGATTAATTAATTCGTGAAAAAGATTGTATGATCGGAAAATCTGTTTAGCACGATTCCTCCCCGGGAGCGTAGCTCCATGGCGAAGGTGCCAAGGGTTAATTCGTATTGATGGATCGGTTGGCAACTTATGCGATTAGAAGTACAGCCCAAAACAAAATATTAAAGAGGAACATTATGCATATACTCATAAACGACGGATGGTTATCACTCGGTCTCGTTGTGATGCCTTCACGGGCAGTACGTTTTACGGACTTGAGTGTGTTTGTGTGTCATGAATTGTGTGGAGTAGTCAGTGTTTGGAGTTGAGTCTTTAGGTCAAGCGAACGTCAGATTGGTCGTGTAGTGGGGGGCATAGCGCATCATCGTATCGTTGAGTTCTTTAGGTTAATGTGTGAGTGTGGTTGGTCTTCTTGCGTTACCATACGCCGACGTTGGCATCCCTTGTAGGAAAAGTATACCCGCTCCCTTTAGAGCGGTGAGGGTGCGTGGGAAGGGGTGTATCATACGGACAGCTCGGCACTCCTCCACACGGCGGCCATCCTCTGTCTCTACGGCTGGGGAGGAGAGATGGCACGCTGCCCGCTCCTGGTGCAGCTCGGACACGCGCAGCAAGGGGAGCCGCAGGCAGCAGCAGATCCTCTTCACTGCTGGATGGCTGCCTTGCTCTCTGGTGGCTGATGGCACTCGGCGGCGGACGGCGCTCTGTGGTTGACGGCTCTCTGTGGTTGACGGCGCCCTCTGCCCTGCTGGCAGATGCCGAGCTGGTAGAAGCCCCTCTGGCTGATGAGCCGAGCTGCTCTTAGCCCTTGCTGATGATGAGGTCGGGGCAGAGCTGAGCTGACCCGCCGGTCGCAGCTCGCTCCTGAGCCGAACGAACTCAGCTGAGTTTCAGACGAACTGCCCCGATGGGCCGGCTCCGGTGAGCCGGCCGAACTCCCCCGAGTTCCGACCGAACTGGTCGAACTGAGGTTTCAATGCTGCAGGGTCCTCTCTTTATGCCAAAAATCCCTTCACTCGGATCCTTCCCACAAGGCGGGGCTTCTTTCGATTTTGCTGTGTCAGGATCTGTCCGTATGTGTGTGTGCGTCCTTGTGTGCATCACCCACGGCATGTTCCACTGTCCTTCCATAAACCATCAAAAAGTAAAACAACCAGACGTTACAAATTGTCAAAGGAGGCATCGCTCTGTCTGCCGGTGCGAGATTACCTCATGTATGACCTCCTTTCATAAACCAAAACACAGACGTTACAAATCGTCTCACAGGCATCTCTGTCCCTGTTGCAAAACCTGGAGGGAGGGGCGATATTCCCTCCGGTGCGACCTTCACCGACACACAAAGAAATGGTTAAGGTTTTTAAAGTTAACATTTATCCATTCTAGATTTAAAGCTTTCGTGACTGCAAGGATCCATACTCTTTGGTTCTATTCGGTAAAGTCACGTAGGTAAAAAAATAAAACAAAAATCACGACGTTTCGACCACAACACAAGTGGCCTTCATCAGGTGAAGGGACCAACCGCTCCAGAGGACAGCGTTGGAGTGAAAAAAAGTCAAGCGCAGGTCGCCTCCTTTAAGCTGTGAGTGGGTAAACAGAAAAAATGCCTTGACAAAGGAATTAGCATAAAATGTAAAGCTGTGTAAGCTCGCAAATAGCATAAAAAATATATTAGCACCAACGTGAGAGTTTGGGATGCCAAGAGATATGTGGATGACACTTTCGTCATTTGGCCACATGGCCTCCCAGCTCTGAACCTTTTCCTACACCACATCAATTCCAGACATCCCGCCATCAAATTCACCATGGAAGTGGAGAAATATGGCAAGCTACCATTCTTAGATGTTCTGTTTGAGAGGAGACCTGATGGATCTTTGGGGCATTCTGTCTACAGGAAACCCACCCACACAGATTCCTACTTGAAACCTAATTCCCACCACCCAGCCCAAAATAATTATCTCATCAAAACTTTATACCATAGGGCTCATTGCATTTCGGACCAACACCACCTGACCAGTGAATTAAAACATGTACACCTGTCCCTCAAAAGGAATGGATACTCTGACTGTACCATCCGCCAAGCTGTTTCTCCCTCCATACAGAAACAACCACTAGATACTCCGATCAAAACCATCACACTACCATATATAGCAGGCGTTACTAAAAAGATTTCCAAAATTCTAAACAAACACAAGATCCAGGTCTGGTTCAATACAGTACACAAAATTCGTGATCTGATCCCATCCGTGAAGGATGTCATTCCTGACTTACAGTACCCCGGGGTTTACAAATTGAGTTGTACCTGCGGTGATTGCTATATCGGGGAGACAAAGCGACATGTCTCTGACCGAATTCGTGAGCACAAATCAGATTTGAAACACGGCAAAACGAATTCTTCTGCCGTAGCTGATCATTGTTACAACGCTGTGGGTGATCACGATATAATTTTCTCCGATACCAAGGTTCTTTGCAAACCCACGGGTTTTTATCAGAGATTTGTTCACGAGGCAATTCAGATCTACAAACACAGACACAATTTCAACCGAGAAGATGGCTTCAAATTAAGCAACCATTGGAAAGATGTTCCAAATCGAACCAAACGTTAAAGGAATTTTTAATGGTACAGTATGTTCATTCAATTAGTGGCATCCCAAACTCTCACGTTTGTGCTAATGTATTTTTGATGCTATTTGCGAGCTTGCACAGCTTTACATTTTATGCTAATTCCTTTGTCAAGGCGTCTTTTCTGCTTACCCACTCACAGCTTAAAGGAGGTGACCTGCGCTTGACTTTTTTCACTCCAACGCTGTCCTCTGGAGAGGTTGGTCCCTTCACCTGATGAAGGCCACTTGTGTTGTGGTCGAAACGTCGTGATTTTTGTTGTTTTATTTTTTTACCTACGTGACTTTACCGAATAGACCCAAAGAGTATGAACATTTATCCCTCACAGTTTCACAGTTATGATTCTGTATGTAACCCAAGGTCTGTGTTAGCTTCCGTTGTGGAATTTGACTTTATGTCAAGGGAAGGTTTCCCGAGCGTATACCACACTCCTACCCCGCGCTGCGGGGAGACAAAGGCGGCCGGGATCTCCCTTCCTCTCCGACCCTGGGTTTAACATCGCCCAAGTCATGCAGTTTATGTTTGTGTAAGCTTAGTATATTTCACGGTGAATAGCGCCAACATGAATGTTATGTAGGAAATAATGTATTGTGAATTTTTACTTAAAACTGGCTAGGGTTTTTTCTGACACGCCGACATTCCAAGCCCCCGCCCTTATTCCTGCTCGCACGGTGTCCGCCAACCTTTGCCCTCATTTTCTCTGCCCGCCCGTTGTTGTCAGGCTCTTTTGCTGACGCCGCCAATTCAAGGCCTCATTCATTTTCGTCACTGTGGTGAGGGAGTGTCAACCTTGGAGTCAGTTCTGGTTTTCGTCTGCTTGCTTCAGCACTTGGTCTGTGACCTCTGACCCTGGCAGTTATTATTTATTTAATTCCCTGGCACGTCCCTGACCTGCACATGCTGTTGCTGAGGGTTCTTCGGACTGTTTTTATTCATTATTAAAATGAAAAAAACAATAGAAATATGTATCTATATGTATCGAAAAATTTATTGTTAATATTAAGATGGAAAAGAGGCCTATATACAACAGTATGCACCCGGGGTCACTGGGTTTAGAGTACAGCCTAGTGTTTACAGCTACATCACCGCTCCATCGACACACACTCATCCGGAGACCCATGAACTCATCACACAGAGACGCAGAGACTCTCCACACAGAGATCCACAGACTCACACAGAGACTCATAGACTCACACAGAGATCTACTCTCCACACAGAGGCCCATAGACTCACACAGAGACCCATATACTCTCTACACAAAGACGCACACAGAGACCCCCAGGCTCACACAGAGACCCATAAACTCTCACAGAGATACCATAGACCCACATCGAGACCGATTGACTGGTGCAGAGACCAATTCGATTCGGACACAGACCCACAGCCTGAAATATCGCATTGCAATTGTATAATTGTACCGTGACTCAAGTACAGTGCGATTGTTGCAATGTGTGATTGTTAAGATTGGATGAAATATAATTTTTTGTCGACCCAGGTCAAGAGTGGTGAAGATTGAAAATTAATTTCTTTAGAACTGCTTTTTGTTTTTAGTTTGTGGTCCCCCACCCCAGACCTTCGATTATGGTGGTTGGCTACGTACAGTGTGAGAGAAGTTCAACATATATACCGTGTATGTTATTACTCTTGCATTTTTTTTTTCAAGCAAATGCGAACTCCGGTCATCCTCGCAGCAGCAGTGACGATTTTTGGGCTAGCCCATCGAACAATGGCGGTCACCGCATCGCGTGCGTGAGTTCAGATGCGCTTCCGTGGCAGACTGGAACGCTCTTCCTTTCGCTACTAGGAAGTCACTGGGAGCTATGATGCACTTTGAAATAATCGAAATTGATCAACTCATTTCTTTAGAACTGCTTGTTGATGAGTTTAGTTTGTTGTCTCCCCTCCCCCCCGCACCTCCGATTAGCAAGGGGGCCTCGGTCTTAAATCACCTCGTTCATTTATATATACTTGACTCTCAATTATCCGTGCTAATGATGGGGAGGATGGGCGCGAATATTTCAAAATCGTAAATAATCCAAAAATATAACTATTTCCCACGGATCTCTATGCCAAAACGAACAAGTGACCGATCGATGATGGGCGTGCTCAGCGATAAAATGTTCCTGCTCCCGTCCAGCAGAAGACTTGCCCCACTAAGTGGACGATAGCAGAGCCACAGCCAATCAACATCAAACTCAGCCCACTAAGTGATAGTAGAGCCTTGCCAATCAACATCAATCAGACTCTGCCTACTGTTGTAAAAATATTGCAACTGCTGTACTGTGGCGTCGATCATGTGGATTTCGGATTAACCGGAGCAACATTTTTGTCAGTTAAAGAACGTGACTTATAATGAACATTTCCAAGAATAACAATATGTAATTCATATTCTTTGGGTCTTTTGGTAAAGTCACGTAGATAGAAAAAAATAACAAAATATAAATCACGACGTTTCGATTACAACACAAGCAATCGTCTTCAGGTGAAAAAGAGGAAAATCCGCTGAGGCAGGCTGTTTATAAAGGTTTGGAGATGGGCGGGACGGCTAATGTTAATGTAGGAGCGAGTAGGAGTAAGTAGGAGAGAGAAATTTGCTTGTAAATGTAAGCTCTGGGGCCAAGCTCGGC